GCCACATTGGCAGTGATGAGTATACACTTCTTTGAAGGACGTCCTTAGCACAAAGCACAAACGTCATCTCAGCTAATTTCTAGAAAATCGTTTTCTCCAAATATCTTGTGTTTTTTGGTCGATTTTCTAGCTCCTAGAAGGTGGTCTCGATCAGTGGGGCATGGATATTTTCAAGCTGGCTGAGTGTACCCCCAATCCCCTAACCTGTGTCACCTACACAATCCTCAAGGTGAGTGTTCGCAATTGGTTCCTCCTCTAGGTTCATAAATCTCATTGGCTAGCTTTTCAGTGCTTCACCATGTCCTCTAATTGTTTCGTTGCTCTCTGATGTGTTAATTTAACATTGGAGAAGAAAGTCTAAAATGATTGGCGACGGGGTGCATTAAGGGCGAAACAGATTTGGCATCTAACTGAGGGGAGGCATGCAGTACAAACGGATGTAATGAATGAAGCGGCAGAAGTCGGAGATACAAACCAGGAAATATTTTTACGTGTGTTAAATCCATAATTGGTCGCCTCAAGGTCGCCTGAATGTCTGCGTCGACTATAAATCAAATCATATCCCCTCCGGAACAGTTAAAATTAAATAGGAATTGGTTGATATTTTGCATTTGACTTCGATAATTCTTTCAACTTTGACTTTTACGAGTAAGAAAGCAGAAAATGCTAACTTTTGTCGGCGCCTATGGAAACTAATTTTTAAAGCACGTTAAAGCATTTTCGGGATGAGAATTACGCTGTTTAACTTCTAAAAATGGTCGCTAAATGTTTATTTCGGATTCCGAAATCAGGATTTTATTTATTTGTGACTCAACGTAAGTCTGCAGAGTTGGAACAGAATCGCTCTCCAAACCTTTCTACTGCTTATTCATTGTGGGTAGCTTGAGATAGGTGGTGTTTGAAGGATACAGGGTTGATAAGTAGATGGCTAGCGGGCAGATGAAGGGGGAAGTAAATGGATTCAGTTCCTTCCACAATGAATCTTTTATCTCATCAACTACTTTGGTCTCGGCTCTGGACATGCTTTGGGAGGTCAAGCTGACTTGTCGGAACGGAATTTCTCACGCACTGTCACTGTGTACATGCTATTGTGATGCTCAGCAATATTAACAGCACTGAACAGTGTAGTTATGTACAATAAAGGGTTTGGAAATCGCTTGTCAAGATTCGGTCGTGGGGCATACACCGTGTCAAAACAGCCAATCAATTAAGTGGTCAATCGATCAGTCTCTCACCCAACTTGTTATGCTACGAGGCAGTTGTGAAGACTTTGACGCCATGTGATCCACTTCATGCTGCGTTTTAGCATCCCATTTGGGCTACCAAACATGAAAGCATCCGCCCATCTCTGACAGCTTATGATGTGTTCTGGGTAAAATCGCGTGTATTTACGACCGGAGTGATATTTTTGTCTATGAATTTGGTAGGGTCGGTGCATTGAATATGTTTGAGACATTGCCGTAGAGGTAAGAGTGTGTGTGTGTGTAAGTTTGTGTTTTCGCCTTGATACGCTTGACGAAATTGTTGTCGTTGCAGTAATAGTGAGTTTATCATTGCCAACTGTAACACAACTTCACTAAAGCCCATTATCAGTTGGGGAAAGTGAATTTTTGCCCAGGGCCTTGGATAACATCAAAAACAGAAGTGTACAAGATGTGGTGTCCAGCCTAATAACATTTTGCTGTTAAGTAAT